ATCAGTCTATTATGAACTGATGACAGTGATGCATAGAGAGTGAAGAGACAACCTACTTGACACCATTTTCGGTTTAGAAATGTCGTCTTCAAGAGAAAAAGTAAATACGCGTGATGCCTAACTACACCCTCTCACCCTGTGTATGTGATATTTTGTGATTTTCTTGTATCCCTTCCCGCCTTTCGAGCTCCACGTGTTTGAAGGATGACCCCAAATCCACTCGAGAATAAATTTATTCCAGAAGAGTTTGCACATGCAGGGCATGGATCCCGGAAGAGATGAATGAACGGAAATAGAATCAGGAGGTGTTAGGTGATATCATTTTAATTATTTTTGTTGTTTGCGATTGAATTACAATGCTGCTTGAAGCTTAATGGATATGCTTTTTTGGGTTCGTTTAACACTTCTTGAGTTCGCATGATAGTTCAAACTTAGCGGAGCTTTTATTTATAAGGCTTTCCGTAAGATTAGCAAACTTTCCTTTGTTAGGATTGGCCAGGTGCAGCACTAACAAGCGAACGACATGGCTTGAGAATATTAGTTTGGAACTAGCGTGTCGTGAGACAATACACTGATTATTTGTATAACTTCCAAAACACACACCCCATACAGTCTCGCGGAGAGGCACACCAAGGTGTCACAAAAATTTATTTACTTCTGGAAAGAATGCTCTGTGTATACAACGAGTTTTCTGAACAGCTTACGTGATAGTTGTTTAGATGATTATTGCTCAACTTAACCATGTACATTTTATGTTTGTTAGGATTGTTCGCTCTAGCGGCCATAAACTGAACTTAAAAATTAGCTTAAATGAAGTTGTATTATAATAATACATTATATAACAACTATTAGGGCTTCCATTCTTCTCCTAACCGGGTTACGTTTGAAAATCTTAGTTCAGTTCTTTTGTTATTCCTAATATCATAAAGACCTACGGTATCCACTAGTTTTTAGGTTGCACTATTTTGATAATAAAAAAGAATAATATCTGAAATTACCTCAAAAAATCCCGAAATGATGGTAAAGTGACACCTAGCGGCTAAAATGATACTAGGACTACTAAAGTCGGTGGAGTAACAAATTAAAATTACATTACGTTTTCTGAAATTTCATTCAGCTCTCGTCCCTCTCCCCACCCCCTAAAGCGGTCAATATAGCCAGACCGACGGAACTGAATGACATGGTTTTTCGTGATGTGCATGTCACATAACATACAAAGCGTATACTATCTCATTTTAAAACTTTCCACTATTAAAATACTTCCTGGGCAGTGGCGTAGGATATAAAATGGCATTTTCATTTTTGAGGTTAGAACGGGGTCCCCTGAAAACAATTTCCAGCGATTTTGTTATAAAATTTCAATTGCTTACCTGGTACAAGTACTTATGGACTATGGATTTTACAAATGTGCATCACCGGAGGTATCCTAACACACGGATGTAGAGCAGTAGTTCCAAAAGGGGACAATACATTTCCGCGTGTTTAATGTACCTTATAATACATCTATTGTGTATTTCCTTCCCATAATGATTTGTTGGCGCGTCACCCTTACTTCCACCTCCACATCCATCCAGATAACGTCTGGGCGCATATTCTGGGCAAATTGCTGAAATATGTCAGTCGCCATTTAAATGAATATATGCGGATCTATTATAATCGATATGAAAGGAATTGCTAATCACATTCCGCTGTGGCTATTACAGCAAGGGCCCACGGAACAACGGTCACTGAACAGAATACAGAATTGAAGCGAGCTGTCTGTGTCTGAATACATTACGATAGCTGCCAGCTATGGAGCGTTCATGGTTTGGGTTTGAGGTGCCCCTTGTTTGGCTAAATATAGTTTTAATAGGTCCTGGTTGAACCAGGTTACGAGATAATTGCTTCCGTTGCCGCCATAAATAACATATTGTGAGAACTACTCAGCTAGAAGCCATACATTGACAAATTCTGTTCTTCACTAGAAAATGCAGCTATTCAATGCTTTTCAAAAAGTTCTTTCTTCGGGGTGATGAAATTACTGCATGAGTACTATTTTGTAGAGCAAAGGTGGCAGTTGACAAGTTCTAAAATGGCGGATGTGCGTCATCTTGAAATATTGTTGTCAATGGAATATGGGGTCATGTGGTACCTCACTTTAAAGTTCCGGCCGTTCACTTTGAAGCCACACAATATAAAATCAGTATATTTTAAAATTACGAAGCAGCAGGCTATTAAAAACTACAAAGATTTCGTATAAATGATAACGATAGTGTCCAATAAGTATAAGATACCCAAAAGTGACTCTATAAAATGTTCTATACTAGTCAAATGTATAAATTTGAATCAATTTATTATGAAATAACATATTGATTTTTAATGTCTACAAACTTATGGGCTTGTAACTTTGGTTGATTTAGGATCCATAACATTAATTATATTCTTGCTGGCAGTCGAAAAGCTGAGATTCACTGTGAAGCTTTTCTGTGTGATAACAATTTTTTTTTGTTCAACATCCACCTCTGCGTAATTTCAATTTTTTTTATAATAATTATTCATGACTGATTATTCGCTCAAAAAACTGCTGAAGTGTTTGATTTTCGGAATAAATTATCTTAATTTTCCTATGAAATTTTCAACATGTATATTCATCTTAGATGGTTATCTACGAATACCCCTAAATATTTAAAATTATCAACTGGTTGTGTGTGTTTGTAGCTATTAAAAGTTTTAATTTGGTGTTGACTGAAATTTGGGAGATCTGTTGTCGCAAGAAAATGTAATAAAGTATGTTTTGTTAGAATTCACTATTAACATCCATTCAATGAAACAATGTGTAACCTTTTGAAAATCTAATACAATTTTGGATAAAGGATAAAGGAGCCCAATCTGTGCCTGAATAAATAATTTCCGTAACGTCTGCGAAACCAATAATTTCTCCATCGTTTTACTACTTAAAAAGGTCATTAATATACAAATGAAACAGCATTGGTCTTGATACGGTTCCTTGTGGGCCTCCTCATCTAACTGCTATATTTTCACTTAGTGCACTGTTAATGTTCATATATTATTTCCTGTCTTCCAAATAACTTTTCGTGAGTTGGATACCTAAATTTTCCAGAGCTTCTAATAATTTTTGATGCGTAGTGCTATCGAATGCTTTGGTCAAGTCTACAAAAAGGCATGCTTGTTGTTGTATAGTAATAATACTATCAACTTATTTGTAAAATATTGGTTGATAAGAGAATAAGTTCATCCTGAGTTGACTTTGCTCCCTGGAATCCGTATTGCTGTTCAAGTATGAGGTTGTATTTTGCAATAAAATTTGAAAATTGTTTTTAAGAGTTATTTCGAATATTTCAGAAAAGTTCGTTATTCTGATATTGGGCGATAATTACAAGGTTTCTGTTTATCTTCAGATTTAAATACAGCTTTTACTATTGACATTCAATTAGATCGGGAATATTTCCAGTACCTACCTTAGAAATTTTATAATTTATTGTTTTTTAGAGTCTATGCTCTATGGGATTATATTATCAAAACCTTTCAGCCCCTTTATGATATGTTTAATTTCGAATTGATCGATCCATGTTGGATATAGGGAATTTTGTAAGATGGTTTCATTTGAAATGTCTGTTGCCAGATTTTCACCAATTTAGTAAAACATTTACAAAATCCATTGCCTGTTTCGATATAGTTTTTTGAGAGTTCGCCATTTTATTTTTATACAACATCAAAATGCTGTAGTGTGTTATATCAATCTTTTTCTCTTGAGAGTATCTGTACGAATATGCAGTGAAACATGGAAACTTTTATTAGAAAATCTGTCAAAATATGTCATTTCGATTCTTGGGTTTCTTCCTACGCGGTTCATCAGTATAAAAAAGGATAAGTGAACATGGTATGAAAGCTGAAAATGAACTAACGGATGGTAGGTAAATATTTAAGAAATCAGGTTTAGAATTATAGGGAACTATCAGTAAAGGTCGTCGCACATTTGCTTGACATAAACTGTCCATTGTTGGCCTACGGATGATGCAGCGCTCGCCGTCAGCTGACGGCCTGTGTTGGATTTGTGACAACCTTAATACTACCAGCATAAAAAGTACCGGCAGCGTCAACCTATGACAATTTTAATTTTCCTTTATAGGCATCTGTTTGTTGAGGCCGTGTAGACGAAGCTAATTTAAGTGTTTATAACTTTGAGACACATAATATGATTCATCAGTGGAGATGTCGCAAAGCTTTGTATACGTATAGAACGTGGAAATCGAATTAATAAAAATCAAATCCTGCATTATTCAGGTATGTGCTCAAATAAAATTGTTCACCTAAAGATTTGTATTTGCTGGAGTTTCCATTGGGCTATAAAGGAATCTGGAAAACGCAATTTTATAAGGCATTAATGATGTAATATTCTCTATTATATTGCGCCTCGCCTTCATAAATAAGTATAGGTGTAGTAGCTCTGCTTGCAGTCAAATCTCACACAGTTCAAAGCAAATTTTCTCACCCTGGATACAGTCCTGTCCCTTCGCCACTCCATCGAACCCTCATACTTTGTTTGTGTGTCGAATCGAGCGGTTCGTTTCCGGTTGGTGCGTACCTTGGTGCCGGGATTTTTTTTAAATTGTGGGTGTCATGCCCGGGAGGTCAATTAAGCGAAGGCACCGCGGCCTCACGCGAGTCTAGCGCGGAAAGTGCGGGAAACGTGGGTGATGTAATGAATTGTCTTCGAGACATTCCTAAGAGATTGCGGAAAATTGAATATCGCCGCAGCCGTAGCCCAGTACGGAAACGAAATCGGAGAGTAGTGTCGTCTTTGTCTTCATCGTCTCAGTCGTCGGAGTCCTCTCTGTCATCTAGATCAAGGACTCCCCCTGGTTCGAGTATCATGGATCGGTCCGGGGGCCACACTTCAAATTGCACGGTTTCACCGATTTGTTTACCTTCGGCTGGTGAGAAGCAGGTATCGATGAGTGTACCTAATTATTTCGTCTGGTACCAATGAGTGTACCCAATTATGTCGCCTGGTACCAATGAGTGTACTTACGTATTTTGCCGGGTATCGATGAGAGTACCTTTTTGGTTTTTTTGGCTGGATGATAAGGTATCAATGAGCATACCTTCCGTTTATCCCGCTCTTCACAGTTTCTGGTCAAGTTGGGACAACGTGTCACATTAGTGTTGATGATACACTAACACATCCAGGTGAGTAACATACGAACCTTTTTTTTGTACTTCAGGGTATCAAGGAAGTATACCCATTCTCTAAGCAGGTATCGATGAGGGTACCTATTTATTTCGTCTGGTACCAATGAGTGTACCCAATTATGTCGTCTGGTACCAATGAGTGTACTTACGTATTTTGCCGGGTATCGATGAGAGTACCTTCTTTGTTTTTGGCTGGATGATAAGGTATCAATGGGCATACCTTCCGTTTATCCCGCTCTTCACAGTTTCTGGTCAAGTTGGGACAACGTGTTACATTAGTGTTGATGATACACTAACACATCCAGGTAGAATAAAAATGTTGTTTCTTCCAGGGCAAGGAGACGCCCCTCCTCCTGGTGTCAAGCTCTCAGAAGATGTCGTCGAAATTCTGGTCACACCTGATACCAACACATTCATTTATGGGCCGAATTTACACAAAGATTTAGTTTCCCGTTGGCAAAAAGCTGTGACCGCGGGGTTGTCTGAAGAGGACAAAAAGGAACTTTGCAACAAGTATCCTCTCCCCGAGAATTTTCAATACATGGCGGCCCCATAACTTAAACCGATGGTTGTCAAGGCGATATCACCCTCAAAGGGACCCTCGGTTGATGGCTCTACAGGGTCAAACAGCCGCATGTTTAGCCGCTACGGGCCAACTCTTTAGCTTAATGTTGGCTGAAGAGGGGGGGGGGCAACCGAAAATACATCAAACTGCTCAATGATGCAAGCAGATTAATGCTGTCCGGGAAGACCATAAAACCAAAGCCGGCAAAATCGATTCGTAAGAATCGCAGTTGGCAATGAATCCAACCTCTGAGGTGCGTGTCGCTGGTAGGCCTAAACATTTCTACCCCAATTGGCTTAGGGTTTGTCAGGATAAATCAGTCCTTAGTTGGGTTAAAGGTTTAAAGTTACCATTTAGACATTATCCTAAACAACAGAATTTTGCAGTTACCTCATGGTCACTTCAGGATCAAGCTTATCCAAGTTTACATAGTTAAATTACTACTAACAGGAGCCATTACCATGGCTTCGGCGAGTGATAAGCAGTACATTCCTAAAAATTTTTCTCAGGCCAAAAAACGATGGCTCTAATCGTCTCATTCTGAATCTGAAAAATGTCAACGGACATAGACATTGCAGCCATCTTAAGATGGAAGATAGTCGCACCGTAAAGAATTTAGTCCGCAACTGTTTCAGGTGTAAGGTGGACTTAAAAGATGCGTATTTTCTAATACCAGTGCACAAAAAATACAGGAAATGCTCAAGATTCGAATTTTGTGGGCAGCTATATGAATTTAGGTGTATGCCCTTTGGGCTAAATATAGCACCTTACATTTTTACAAAATTAATGAAACCCGTTATTACTTCTCTTAGAGCAAAAGGGTTTTTATCTGTTATTTACTGGGATGATATTCTTTTGTTTGGTAACACTCATGAAGAGTGTCTCTCTAATCTGAAGGAGACCCTAAACCTCTTACTTTCATTAGGCTTCCTGCCAAACTACGAGACATCCATTTTAGCCCCATCCCAGTCAATTCAATATGTTGGATTCATTTATAATTCGATAGATATGTCTATTCGTATTCCTCATGAAAAAGTTTTAAAATCCAGACAGCTAGTGCAACAATGTCATCAGTGGAAAAGTGTAGCATTAGAGAATTTGCCAGATTGTTGGGGAAACTAGTCAGTATCTGTCCTGGAATCAAGTACGGATGGTTGTACACAAAAAACTTCGAACGGGAAAAACACTTAGCATTATTCGAGTCGAGAGGGAATTTTGATGCAATCATGCGACTTTCCCCAACACTTATTCACGATTTTAACTGGTGGTTTAATAATTTGCCACAGGCAAAAAACTTCATTCAAGTTGATTCGTTTGTTATAGAAATTTTTTCCGATGCACCAGACTCTGGCTGGGGTATTATCTGCTTTGGGAAAAAGTCGCACGGGTTCTGGTCGGACATTGAAAAACTACATCACATAAACTATCGAGAACTGTTGGCAGTTTTCCTTGGGCTAAAATGTTTTGCAGCTAACCTATCTAATTGTAACATCCTGTGTCGGGTGGATAACACCACAGCCTTGGCCTACATTAATAAAATGGGTAGTGTGCGATTTTCAAAACTTAATAGTCTGGCGCGCACCATTTGGCAATGGTGTGAAACAAGAAACTTATTCCTTTATGCGGCATACATAAAATCAGCCAATAATAAGGAAGCAGATTTGGGAATATCGTAGTTTGGAAACCGAGACGGAGTGGTCCCTGGACGTATCTGCATTCGAAAACATAGTTGCACAGTTTGGCAAGCCTGAAATTGACCTGTTTGCGAGTAAAATTAATGAAAAATGCAAAAACTTTGTTTCATGGTTGAGAGACCATGAGAGAATGGCAATTGATGCTTTCACGTTGATTTGGGGAAAGCTCCATTTTTATGCATTTCCGCCATTTTCACTAATTTTGCGGGTATTGAATAAAATCATTCTCGATGGAGCAATGGGCATTCTTGTCGTCCCCCTATGGACATCTCAACCCTGCTATCCTGTGTTTACATCCCTTTTAGAATGTAATGCAATACAATTTCGTCCATCCAAGATGTTAATGTCTTTCAACAGGTCACCACACCCCCTTTGGAGAAAGACTACCCTGGTGGCAGGAATTGTATCAGGCGGGCGTTGATGTTGGGGGACGTTCCCTCGGAATCGCTAAATATATGTCTTGCATCAGTTACGGATAACACAATTAAGCAGTACAACGTGGGATTGAGGCTTTGGTGGGAATATTGCAATGGAGAAAAAATATTTACACCCAGTCGGTTTTCTGCAGTACTTAAATTTCTAACATTTCATTTCAATAAGGGGTCTTCTTTTAGCTCTCTGAATTCATATAGAGGAACGCTTTCACAGATTCTAGGGCCAAATCTTAGAGAAGATTTCAGAATTACAAGATTTTTCAAAGGACTGAGTCGCTTAAGGCTTCCGCTCCCTAAGTATAACAACACCTGGGATCCATGCATAGTTTTGAACCATATAAAAAATTCATATTCTACGAATCCTACTTTAGAACAGTTAACTCTCAAGACGGCCATGCTCCTCGCCTTAGCAACAGGCCAACGCGTCCAAACATTAGCTAGTATGGAAGTGTGTAATATTCAAAATTTCTCAGCTCGGTTAGAAATCCGCATATCTGAAAGGATAAAGACATCTGGCGTTAACAAAATGCAGCCCACATTAGTTTTGCCGTTTTTTCCGGATAATGTGAATATTTGCCCAGCCAAAACGTTACTGTTATATCTGGAAAAAACAAAGGCTATTCGAGGTAACGAACTGAGTTTGTTTCTATGTTTTAGAAGGCCGCATCGAATAGCCTCTACTCAAACTATCAGCAGATGGTTAAAAACTATGTTATTAAAGAGTGGTACAGACATAAGTTCTTTTTGTGCTCAGAGCACTAGACATTCAGCTACTTCTACCGCCTCCAGGAAAGGGATAAGCTATGATAGCATCCGGTTGGCCGCGGGGTGGACGGAAAAATCTAAAACATTCGCAAGATTTTATCAAAAACCATTAGTTTCTAGTAGGTCTGACTTTGCGGAAGCAGTGTTCAGTTTTGCCTAATGTTAAAGAAATTAGAAATAGTTGTTCTTGTTCACTATAGAGAAATAGTGGAAATCACTGTTAAGTTTGCAGTGACTAATATGTATGTAAGCGGCGCCGCTGTGACTACCCATAATTCCCTCTCAAAAGGGTGAAATGATATCGTTATCTTCTGCGACGGAAAGAGAAGCACGGGGGGTCCGGGGACGACTACTACCTGCGATCCCTCGCAGGTAGTAGCGAAGATGACGACAGTCAAGTACCTAGAGCCAAACAAAATGTGCCTAAATACGAAGTAAATGGTGGTACTCGGCTACTCGGAATAAAGTATTGATTGGGGATAGACGTTTATTTTTTTGGGGTAAAAGCCAAATCAAATCTACCCCGTTTCTTACTTGTATATAATTACGCATATGTAACTTGATGATACTAAACAAATTGTTGCAACTTACTTTGAACTACTACACCTATATTTATTTATGAAGGCGAGGCGCAATATAATTGAGAGATTAAACGAACTTACCTAACCCAATATGTTGCAACAATGCTTTGAACAGGTATGAGGGTTCGACGGAGTGGCGAAGGGACAGGACTGTATCCAGGGTGAGAAAATTTGCTTTGAACTGTGTGAGATTTGACTGCAAGCAGAGCTACTACACCTATACTTATTTATTTCGGCGAGGCTCATATAATTAGGATTAAACTTCACTTAGGTAAGTTCGTTTAATCTCTCAATTATTCAAGTTCATACCTGATAATCGTGCCAACGAGCAGCTATATCAAGAGAACATACGTCGCGAAATGTGTTTATAATCTGTCGGTCGACTTCATTGACCTTAGGTTGATTCTGAATTTCGTTGCACATTCAGGAAAATCGTTTCAAAATATGGAGGTTAATGTAACATCCTATAGCGCTTCCACGATTAGTTGTTAAGATTCGGTTGAAAATAAACTAATCTTAAAATACTCTACGTGGTCTTGTAGAGCACGGTTTTAACTTTAATTTAGGTAATTTACGACTTGAAGGAAAATAATCTTTAATAGAGTTTTTAAATATTTAATATACCACACGGTAACCCATACCAATTTTTTTTAATTAACTGCAATTTTTGAGGTCTTTCGGATTATCCTGAACAGAAAAGTTTCCCATAACTTTTCTCTAAAGTTGATGTGAGTATATTCATGCTTGAAAATTTTAATTGTTGAGGTTACCAAGTGTCATAACAACACCAAGATTATTTTGAGATTAGTTTATTCTAAAGCGATTTTAACCTTGTTTGTTGGGCCAAAACTGAAGAACCTTTGATCTTCGCAGACTGCAAAAAAGCCCAAATTTGACATTTAATTAGAAGGAATGGATAAAAAGTATCAAGATGAGATACACATGATCCCCATTCCGTTTGATAGAATATCCCAAAATGGTGCTCATGTATTATAACTCGATCCACCCCAAAAATAAGTGTGCGAGGCCCTTTTTGAAAACAAGGAAAATTTTAAATACTTTCATACATGATTTGATAAAAGATGATGTTTTCCAGGCACGTCTTGCGACAGATTCGCTGTGAACCGTTTTCCCGGCCCATATGTTTCCAATATAATCCAGTATATTCGTTCAATCAACGCCTCGCGACGTTCCCAGCCAGATGGGATAGTTTCTGAAATGCCACTTTCATAAGTATATCTCGTAACTCGGAGTAACGGAAGTTGACGACCTCGTTCGACTAGAATAGATTGCTAGCAAAGATGGCTCGAAGGACCGTATGGTACAGATTTGACGTCGACAGGCGGAAATGTGATTTTTATCGGGTTACATTCAGACGCAAGTTGTGGAGATTTTCTGGTTACACATCAGAGGTATTCTCACCATTATGGTTAACCTGATACCGGGTTTACATGCAGCTACTGCCACTGTCCTGCCGTAAATAATTCCACGACAGCATTTGGAGCAAGTGACTGTTTACAAGCAGCCAGCCTTCTAACCTACCGTAAACTGCTTTCAAAAAACTTTCCATTACATCAAATGCCAACCAAATGGGCTGACACGCCTCATCTGCATCCGCTCCTGCATCTAATCGAAGCGTTTTTCTTTTTAAATAGCGACCGAAATGCCATTAGCGATTTTTTTTCGACTTGAGCTCTTGTTTTGGAATGTTTTCCAATCCTACCATAATAATCTTTCAGCCGCATATAGCACTAAAAACTTCAATACTTGGTCATTGCTCC